GGTTCAATAACGTAATCCATTATTTCCTTTACAAACATAAGGTCCATGTTCGCCCAGTCTTTTGATTTTTTGTTTGCAAGATTTTTAACAATATTCATGATTTCTTCTTTGTCAGTCCCATCAAGGAAAATACTGTTGGTACAGCCCGTAACTGTGTGATTCACATTATTATCTACTCTTGGAATTTTAGCTGCAAGACTCGGGCCAGCATTAACAAAATAATTATTAAATCTATTTATAATTTCAGTCTGATCAATTTTCCATCTTTTACAAAATGTGAAATGTCTGATCTTGTTTTGTGGCTCTTTAAGACACTATTCATTACTGGCAATGTTGCTTTCATATCACTTTTACTTTTGCTTAGTAAATCACTGTAATATTCCTTCTTATGTTCTTATATTCCAAACCAACTTGTTTTTATACTTCTTGTATTTCTCTTCCGACTCTTTTGTTCTTAATTTCAAGAAGCACGAATACAAGTAATTCTTTTATTACAGGCATTTCTCAATCCTTTAGTCATCCAAGGTTTGTCAACAATATTTCTTTTTGTGTATTTGTTTTGCACGCAATTTCTTTCAAACAGAGCTCTCAAAATGTTCATAAATACATCATGTGCTTTGTGCACATCTTCAACATACACATCTTTCCAATTGTTTTCCAAAATTGTTCTTTGACTTATCCAAAGCTTTTTTTGATGTTTTCATAGTTTTTTTCTTTTCTTGTAACTACTTTTGTACTTTTGTAATTGTTCTAGCTGTGATTGGTGGAGTATTAGGTGTGCAGAGTTTGGCAAAACCATGATTGGTCAGATTGTCTTGTTGGGTAAGTTAAAAGATGAAGTAATAGTAAAAATACACTACCTGGCTAAAAAAAGTTGTCACCAAATTAAAAAAGGTCACACTTTAATATTTGTTTGGACCTTTAGCTTTGGTTACATCACTCATTGTCCGTGTCATTGTTTGAATAAGCTTCTAATGTCACCAGGTTTATTTCATCCAGTGTTGTATTAATTTTTCACCAAGATCTTTCATTGATGATGGTAGAGTCTGACCTTCTCCAGCACATCCCAAAGATCCTCAATGGACTCTGTGGAGCCAGTCCATGTGTGAAAATGATGTCTCATGCTCCCTGAACCACTCTTTCACAATAAGAGCCCCATGAATCCTGGCATTGTCATCTTGGAAAATGGCCGTGTCATCAGGGAAGAAACAATCCATAGATGGAATAACCTGGTCATTCAGTATATTCAGGTCAGCTGACCTCATTCTTTGAGCACAAACTGTTGCTGAACCTAGACCTGACCACCTGCAGAGACCCCACATCATAGACCTGACCACCTGCAGAGACCCCACGTCATAGACCTGACCACCTGCAGAGACCCCACATCATAGACCTGACCACCTGCAGCAGCCCCACATCATAGACCTGAGTTAAATCCAGGCAGACACTTGTATTTGGCAGGGAGGTGAATTATGAACATGTAACTAAATATAATTTGACTGATTATATTTTAAAACCTAATAATGTCTCAAATAAAAATTGTGAACATGTAAGTGTAATTTATCAAATTCAAAATTGGTACAAGTACCACTTTCTTGTATAGATTTCTGATTAATATTTAATTTATTTTTTCCAGGCAGATTTGGGTTTTTTGACTAAGCCAAATTGTTATTCATCGCTCCACATGTATGGTGTTCAAATTTTGTGCAGCTAGCACCTTTCTATCTCGAGTTATGACTAAATTTAACATTTTTATTTGAACATATCAGGACTTCAGATTTTTGTCAGTGAAGGAGAACAGAGATACCACACATATAGATGTTTMATGGCTGTTTAGACAAAGATACAAGTCCCCCTCAGCTGCCCAGCATCTATCCAACCAAATCGTTTTGGCTTTTTCAAACTCTACCCAAAATTATCAATCCATCCAATCCTATCTTTGACAAACTCCTCTTACAAAACAACAAAAAAAAAAAAAAAAAATCCCACGTAGTGACTGCAGTGACCTGCTTCTCAAAAAGAACACCTTACATAAACTGATTAAAAATGATCTGTTTTCCCCTCGTAACAGACTAGTCACTCTTTTAAAGCCATTTAAGCCTGAAATTAAAAAAAATCTAATTTAAATGACTTTTTTTTAAAATAAACCTTGAGTTTTAAACAGACTCTGGACACTCCAGATCCAGCTGAAAATGTTTTTTGGCCAAACTTCTACGTGTTGCTTGTTGGTCAGACATGGAGGGTGTTTTTATACTTTTTTTAATCACTATTATTTTTTCCTGAATCTGTACTCAAGCACAATACCAGCTTCTGCTTCATTGTTGCCTCTTGACCTGGATGTACCACAGAGTTGCTGCAGCTGGTTCCTCTGTTATAAACATCATCCTCTGGAAAAAAAAAACTRAAAGGGAAGAACACATTCAAAGCTGTGGACTGTCCGATTCTGCAGCCTGTGTCACGTAGAACTGCCTTTTTGTACTAAACATTTACTTGCGCAACATGCAAGTGTGCTTTTGCTCTTCTATCCAAACTGCAACAATTTTATCAGACAAGATGAAAGATGAGACTCCACAGCAACACCCAACCAATAAGGAGGTCCTGCTTCCAGGGTGAGTTAAAGGCTAACAAATGTAAAAAGCAAAGCATCACCGCGTGGGCTAGTAAATAAATTAAAAGTATAGGGATAAAGGTAAAACGAAAAAACATCACCGAGAAGAGTGTATCATTTTATAAAGTGATAAATCTGGGATTAAAAGTTGAATTTATAATGGGTTTCATTGTGGCCTATTTTTCCCTTGAGGACCACGAGTGTGTAGTAAAATTACCATGAGGTTACAGGAGTGTTTGAAAAAAATCTGACAAAAAAACATTTGAATGAATTTTAGTCACGTTTATTGACTGCACATAAAAAATAGAAATAAAAGCACACACGTGAATAAACGCATGACCCATTCTTCCGCAAAAGACAAAACGAGGGTGAAAGTACAACATCCTTTGAAAGCACGAAAGCGAATGTTTGATTCTCTGACATGAGCAGCACATCCAACAAGGTCAATGTCACCCACTGCTTTAGTTTGTAATTTGTCTGCACTTATCTGTGATGGATGCTTCGCGCAGTAAAGAAGAGGTAATTAGAGGCAAAGATTGATAACAGTCGTGTATCTCTAGGTGAAATGTAAGACTAGYAAYGGCTATTTTAGCTGGGTCAGAGTGAAAGAGCAAACCACCCACCAGCAACTCTAATATCACTAATTACCATTTCTAATCCTGCTGATGGAAGCTGTGGAAACAGCAAAAAGTAAACATGACTAATTACAAGATATTTGTTGGTGTAGATTGTCAGTCATCCAGGATATGGCAATCATAAGAGTTTATTTAGCCCAGAAAGTCTGTCACTGTGTGGCTGTCATGATTGACAAGCCTCAGATGTTGCATGGGAAACRAGGACAACACCTGGGGAGTGGCAGGCAGGTGCTTGGTGGTTCCAATTTAAAAAGGGGGGACAAGAGAGTATGTTTCGAGGGATTATGGCCCTTAACCTCTTGGGGAAAGTTTACTTCAGGGTGTTGGAAGAGAAATGACGGTCAAATCTCAGAATCTGAAAGAGGACCATGGCTTTCATTGAGGTTGGGGAGCACTGGACCAAATCTTAATCCTTGCAGAGTTCCTGTCCAATCCACACGTGTGGATCTGCAGAAGGTGTGTTAGGTCTCTGTTCTTAAAATTACAAGGATGGGGTGGTAGGGAAGCTTCATGGTTTCTGGTGGGAGCTGGACACTCATGTCTCTTGTCTCCAGTCATGTTTGTGATTTTCATGAACAGGATTCCAAAGTGTAGTCGCAGCGAGGAGGGAGCATCTAGTTTGGAAAACTCAACTCTGCTTTTTTGCAGATGATGTGGCTCTGCTGGCATTTTCAAGCAGTGACCTTCAGTGTGGCCTCAGATGGTTCCCAGCCGAGTGGCCGTGAGTGAGAGATGGTCTCGCCTGCGTTAATGAGGATGTTACTCTGGTCTGTTGTGGTAAAGAAGAAGCTGAGCTGAAAGGTGAAGTTCTTAATTTACTGACCAGGCTTGACCTCTGAGACGGAGTGACTGCGGTGGACTTCAGCTCCTGCTCCTCCACATCAAAACAAGTCAGCTGAGTTGTTTGAGAAGCTAATTAGGGTGCCCTTTTGATGCCTCCCTTGAGTGGTTTTCTGGGCAGTATTATATGGCCCACTGGGAGTCAGACCCAGAACTTTATGAGAGAAGGTCTGGGCTTCCCTCCTGGACCTGTTGCCTTGCACCCACTCTGGATGTTATCATCCATGAAATGAATGTTATTAGATGTTATCAGTCCCCTAGAATGGCTTCAGAATGTCCCGCCTGTGCAGGTTAGCAGGGTTCCCCGTCCCATAGAATGGCTTCCGATTGTCAGCTGGTTAGTATGAGGCATAAAACCACTATCTGGTTAACATGATACATAAAAATACTGGTTAATATGAGGCTTAAAGCCACTAAGGTTAACTTTAGAGCAAATGACATGGTTAGCGTTAAAGACACCGCCCTCCAATGGTTGAATATTGTGGCCTTCCAATGGGGCAATGGGTAAAGTGTCGGACCAGGGTTCGAGACCCACATGGACACAAAAAAACCTATTACAATATCTTTTGGTTATTTACACATTCATTGTCATTGATATATTAACCCACTAGGGGGCAATGTTGGGACAATCTGAAGCATAGAAAGCGCAGTAAGGACCCTCTGAAGCCATTGTATGGGACTGATAACGCCTAATAACGTCCATTACATGGACTGATWACATCAGAATCCCCTGCTGAAACCTTACTTTCGAAAAATAGACAACGATGCATGAACGGATGGATGGATGCGTGGATGGACATCAGTTCACTCCTTTTCAGAGGTAAAATGTTTTCAAGAAACAAGGAAAGAAGTTAAGCTACCTTAAACTCAATGGTTAGCCATTAGCAATATTTATGCTAGCCTGGTGTGTTGTTTACCTTGTAGTTGAACCTTATTTTCAGGACTGTGCACTAAAACAGAGCTGACGGTGTCCAGATTGTCATAGTTGCTGCACCCAAGAGGCCCAGTTCTTGTTTCAGTCACCTGAAAGAACATTGAGAGRACACAGACTTTGTTTTAGTTTAGCACAGGAGCTTACACAGAGTTTGCTTATGCACTTATTTAACTTTTGCATTTCCTGTAAAGAAGGTCAAAATAACATAAAAACTCACTACACATATTATTTTTGCCTCAAAAGAATTTGCAACGCAATAAATTTCTGAAAGTAATTAAGACAAACTTTAATTATAAAGTTTCCTTCATCAGACAGAATAATCTGTGATGAAAAGAAATTAATTTCCAACCAAATTTTCTCAAGACACTGTTTCTAGTCGCAACGTTGAACTCAGAAACAGGAAGCTCAGTTTTTATTAATGTGTATTGTTTTGTTCTGGATGCAGTTCTTTCTGAATCCTGAGGAGCTGTTAGCTGGGATTTTAATGAATTGCCGTGTTTTGCAGATGCTGCTTATAAAATGTCCATCTTTCTCTTCCCCCTTTCATTCTCACTGATTTTCAATCTGCCTGAACTCTCTGGCCGCTGCAAAGTGGCAAATGAATGAAAACCAGTCAGGCTGGAAATGAATGAAACCATATCTTTAATCCATCAAACTGATGCATAACCAGACTAACAGGTTCTCATTTTAGGAGGGGCACTTGTCTTCATCAGTGGCCGCTCACTTTAGCATCTACATTTGCCCCTCAGGCTGATTAATGCATGTGGTCTAATAGCCACTACAGATGATATAACGGATGATTGGTGCTTTATACCAGACGATGCACAACTGCTGGCCCATTCTCCCTCTTCTGTCTCCTGTTCGCAGCTCGCTACAGGACAGGCGACACGTCGGCTGCGTTATAAATCCGAGTCTATTAATTTGCTTTGCGGTAACTCAGAGGCGGCATTATAAGAATCTGATTAAAATCAATCAGTCCTTTATTTTTCTGCCTACTCAGAGGTTTTTGTGAGAATCAGCAGCGTTAAAGAGGAGAAACGGATCTGACAGCGCCGCTGCTCGCCTGCAGCCACAGGAGGTGCAGCTGCCCGGCCAATTCTGTAAATAAGCATTTGCACTTAATCTAACTGATTAAATAAAGTCCCTGAGCTGGTATTAAAGGATTTGTGAGTTTAAGATGTCCTCAAGTGAAGTAACTGGAATGTCAGAAAGGAAAACTTTACTCCTTGTGTTCTTCATCAGAGTGGAGGGGTGCACTTTATTATTTCCACACTAAACAGAGAAGTACTGAACGTTTCCCTGAGTTCACAGAGCAACAGAGCAGCAGTTTCTACAGAACACAAACAAATACACATAAAAGAATAGAAGTGGAATAAAAAGGCAAAGTAACGTTTAGTTATTGTGCTTGTTTACACTTATTTGTCCATTTAATGGGTTTGAAAAATAAACCAGTGAACCTCTACAAATCCATACAGCAGTGTTAGCAACAATTTAGTAAATTAAAAATTATATTGCGATGTACTGCTCAGATGTTTTATTTAACAGAATTTTGTTAAAATCTCCTGAATATCAAATCAACCCTGAGTTGTACTAAAAACTCACAAAGGTTTATATCTTATTGTTTGTTTACATCAGCGGTGTGGAAAAGCAGACAATTGCAGTGGAGGGAGACGTGTGGTACGGCAGGCAGTTGCGCCATAGATTCAGTTGTTTTATGGCAGGATATTATTATTTTTTATTTGCAGTCCCTGATCTGAAGTGTAATTTCCCCACAGTAGCACTCATTTATCTGAAAAGCTAAGAGTGAGTGTTTCACATTTAATAATATTTTTACTGTCTCATTGGGAAATGTTATTTAGTTTTGTATTGATTTTTATTTTGCATCAAATCTCGGACAAATTAAAAGAAACAAACGTTCCTTGTTTTTTTATATCCATTTTGTAAGTTCAAGGCAGAAAAACATTCCTGGAGTGAATCAAACTTTGTTTTTGTCACCTGACCTCCAGGATATGTTTAGTATTTATGGTTGAAACTGGTTAAAACAAGACAATGTGACTTTTTTCTATTGGAATTATCAAGTGACAAATTCTATCTTACTGCTACCATAAAACCTCCTTACAAGAGAGCTTTGTGTTTCTCAGTCTGATTGTGAGACAGTTATTGTCTGCTGRAAAGCATTTCGCCCACAGCTGATGCAACATCATCAGTTCTTCCGTCACAAAGATGCAACCTCATCATCTCAGCGCTGTTACAGTGATTAGTGAGAATTTCAACAAGGTGACATTCAACAGAGCTTCACCAACTTTTCTACAGTATGTTGGCTGTCCCACCAAACACAAAAGCCTGGATCAGATGCAAATCCAATGGATGTGCTGCAGCACATGCCCCCCTCCCACCCCCACCCTAAACTACATCAGGTTTGCTGACCCCAGGATTCATCCCTGAAGAGGCAGCCTGCTAACAGAGGGGGTGGTCTCAAGAAGCTGCTGAAGCACTGCAGGGCTGCTTGGAGACGATGGACTGGAATGTCCTCATGGAGGAGAGAAGAGTCACATCACAGATTCTGTGACCATGCCTGAACAGTAGGACATCAGAAGAAGGACATCTTGTCCCGACACCAGTATTTGTCAARCTGAGCATGAGAATGAGTACTTCAGTTTGGGTACTCACCAATACCAAGTGCTGATACCTAGAATCAGCACAGATCCAATTCCCCAGCAAAAACAGAGTAATATAGTTAATGCTGTGAAGTGTCAGGAGGGCTGTGATCAGTCATACATTGTGGAAACAAAACAGCCACTGTTCAAAAGAATGAGACAACACAGACGAGCTACATCATCAGGCCAGGACTCTGCAGTTTACACTCATCTACAGGCCAGGACTCTGCAGTTTACACTCATCTACAGGCCAGGACTCTGCAGTTTACACTCATCTAC